CACCTGCAACGCCACGGTGTTGATGCCACTCGTGTGCGGAATGCGGCATAGGAGCGATGTCTTCCGAGTCCGGCAGGCAATGCCCGAGAGCTAGAAGAAGAGGCCCGTGATCAGTATGAACAACATGCCAAATGGGTCCACTATCGCCGGACTCAGCTGTGCGAGCAACGCTGTTTGCAAACGAATCTTTGGCGAATATATCAATATCGCCACATTGTCGACCGTCACGCTGGCCCAGCCTGGAGGTAACAACATGCCCCGGCAAAGAAGGGGTCACGAAACTCTGATTCAACCGCGTCTCGGTTATAGCGACAATGTCTGGGAAACCGGACAGGGAGAGGCGATGTTAAAGTCCAGCATGGTGCGTCGAGTAACCGCGCAAATGCACGGGAACGGTGGGAAAATACATGTCGAGGTCTGGCGATTCTTGCTCGGACTCCTGCGAGCTCTCGCCAGGAGGGCTTCGACGGCCAAAAATACATAGCCATGCGTGCCGCCGAAAATGAACAAAACGAAGGCTAACGAAAACCACGGCGACGGAAACGCCGGGACGTCGACGGTTGGGGCCGCTCATATGCCACAGAATGGCAGGTAGTTTGGCGAACGTGTGAATAACTTGGTGCTGACAAGATGAGCGGCCCCGGGAAACCACTTAAGGATCACGAGATTAGCAAAAGGCTCTAACAAAATGCTGGTGGCGACGTCCTCGTGCTGCTTGAAGGCCGCGATGCCGTTTACGGTCAAGCGGCGCTCGCGCGAGTCCTGCACGTTCCGCTCGACGTTGACATCCTGGCCGTTGGCGGCGGGGGACGCCTTGATAAGCGACTCGGCCTTGCGAATGGTTTGATTCCGCTTGCGCTGAAACTCCGTGTGGGCCGTCTTGATAAATAGCTTCTTGTCGCCCGTGCAAAGCTCGACTTTGGAAGAGGGTATAGGAACGGCTTTGCCACATCCACGCTGGAGAATTCAACTCAAAACCCGTTAGACAACTGCCTTTCCGAATACGGCAAATACCACCCACTGCCAAAAACCCCTAGGTCGAAACGCGGTGAAACGGTCTTTAAGGAAAGACTCCATCTTGGCAGTGCGCGCGGGGGTGTCAATATCACCCGCCCATCCCACAAAAAAAGAAGCAACACGACGTCGAGCGGGGTCAAAACGCTTGGCATTATTCTGCATGTCCTTGATGGCGTTGTTGGCAGCAATGTCCGGGACGAACGGCTGAGACTCCAACTTCGTGACGCGAGTACCCAATTCGTTGCCAAGATGTTTCAAGGGGTTCACAGCGTCGGAGACGCTGACCTTGATCTCCTTGTGAACCTGCTTTTCGAAATCCTCGAGATCGGACTCCAAGGCCATTCGGTCCATCTTCTCTGACAGCGCACTGATGGCATCAAGGACCCCCATGGTCGTGGACTGCGCGGTGGCGAGGCCGTCCTAAGATCGAGACCCCGGCGTCGGAGAGCCCAAGGTCTCCTTCAGGCGTTGGGTCTTCTCGAGCTTCTCCTTCCCTGGAGACGCCATAGGCCCTCTCTTGACAGACGATGCGAAGGCACTGTCGAGGCTCCTCTGCGTAGCCCTGGCGGCGCTGTGTTGGAAGGGGCGTAGGACTGGATAAGTGAGACGCTTGGCAATACGCCGCCCCAGCGACACGCTAGGCAATACGCCGCCCCAGCGACACGCTTGAGCTTGCCTTGACCCAGAGTTTGCCTTGAGCCTTGAGCCAAAATGGCTTGAACCAAAATGGCTGCGGGAGCCGTTCGGAGCAGTTCGGTGGGAGCTGCTGGAGGCAATCGAGGAGACCGCGCGGTATCACTTGTTCTAATGATCTGGGACCTTGTAGAAACATGTCAGAGCCCTTTCGAGGGAGCTGCAGGAGGCTTTCTGGGGGCCTCTGGAGAGTGTCCCGAAGGCCGTCTTGGAGCCTCTCAGGGGCTCCTTATGGGCGTGCTGGCCGTGGGAGGGGCGGGCGTGTGGGAGGGAGCGCTCCAGAGTTGGCCATGCAGGCGCTCCCCTTGGGGCCGTCCGTTTTGGGAGTCGCTGGGGCTGTCGTAGAGGCTCTCGTGGAAGCTCCCTGGGCGCCCTCCAGACGATTTGGTAGGCTGCTCTTGGTGGGTTGGGCGTCTGTTGGCCGCAGAGGCGATCGTAAGAGGAAGTGTCCCAAAACCTCGAGAATGTGTGAAGCTGTACGTCCTCGTAGCCCTCTCGAAGGCCATCTTGGAGCCTGGTGGAACCTGGTAGAGGTCTTCTCGGGCCGTCTGGGAGCCCTCTTGTGCTGCAGAGGAGCGATCCGGGGCCTTTCGTGGCACTCGCAGGGCTCTCCTGGGCCAGGCCGGCGTCGCTCCATGAGCGGGCGCGGGACCAATGTGTCCTTCTGTCTTTCTGGCACGCGCTGAGATCGGTATTGTAGTATAGAGCAGTGTTACAGGGAACCGAACTCTATACACCGACGCTTTTTCCGGCCCTGCACTAAAATTTGCCTAGGAAAGCGGATCCTAGTGCATACGGGATACGGGATCCTGGTGTATACGGGATCCTGGTGTATAGACGGCAGACAACGTATACACCACACCACCCCGACGTCGCCCCCGAGCCTCAGGCAGTCCTGGGATTGAAAAGCAGCCCGCCACTGGTGATGTGCATGTCTAATGCCCGATAGCGTGGACCCGTGGATCGCAGCCACGGTGTGCTGGCACTCGCCCGCGAGGGCCGTGAGCGCGCCGCCCCTGCCCTCGACCCCTCTCGGGGCCCTTCTCGGGCTGTCGGAGGGGACTCTCCCTGGGAGTCTCTTGGGCAGTGCTGGTGCGCTGCAGGAGCCACTCTGAGTCGTTTTTGGTACGCATTTGGGCCCATCGGGGCCGAATGCGTCGATTACAGAGCATTTGAGACGTACTGGTCTCGTGGGCAGTTCTGGTGCCCCAAGCGAGCCTTTCTGGGAGAACCCGAAAATCAGATCAACACCTGAGAAGGAACATGAGAAGTTGGCCCCGCAGGGCCAGCAAACGGGAGCCACCCTGAGCCGTTCATGGCATGCCCTTGGGTCCACCGGGGCCAGCAGCGGGGGTCCTCCCAGGCTGGCGTGGGAGGCCTGCTGGCGCGCCTTCGGCCCGTCTTGGAACCCGACGCCGGGCCCGTCTTGGGCCCGGCTTCGGGTTCTCTGGGGTGCCTTCCGTGGAAGAAGAAAACGCGCCATAACATGAACTTCTGGCGCTCCGCGCGGATTTCTTGATCTGCTCTGGACCCCCCTCCCTGGCGTGCGGAGTGCGCCAGGGGCGGCGCCGGGGGGGCACAAAGAAATCCGCGCGGATCCAAGAAATCCGCGCGGAGCGCCAGTCGTTTATGTTTATGCTGTTTGCTCTTCTTCTGCATGGGGCGTCTCTGGGCCTCGGAGCCGGAGGCGCCGCCAGGGGGCCCAGCGCGGATCCAAGAGATCCACGCGGAGCGCCAACAGTTTATGTTTCTGGCATTTTTCTTCCGACTTCAAGCGGGGAGAATGGAGCCTGGACCGAGGAGGGAGGACTGGGCCTGGCATCAGAACGCCTCGCCTGCTCGGCCTAGAACTTAGGGCTCTCGGCCCCTGGCCAATTGGCGGATCAACCTCGAAGAACCCCCTCTCCTGTCGGCGAAGAGCCTCCGATGGGGGAGGCCGGAGGAGGGAGGAGGGACCCCCCTCGAGGAGGGAGGAGGGATCCCCTCGAGGAGCAAGGAGGGATCCCCTCGAGGAGGAAGGAGGGAGGAGGGAGGCCGCAGGGCGCTCCATCGCGGGGGGGTCCCTCGGAGGGCTCCTCGAGAGGGCCTCCAAAATGGAGCAAGAGCTCCACGGGACACCCCGCTGGGCTGGAGGGGGGGCTGTCTTGTGAGATGCAGGGCTGTGCACGTCAGGCTCGTGTCGTGCCGACTTCGGCGCTGGTTTCTTGACACAGAGGGGATCGTTCAAGCTTGCACGGTCGGCCGCTTCCGAAACGTCCAAATCGTTCCAAATCGAACGATTCTAGGTCGCCCGCGGCGTTCAACGTTGAACGCCGCTGGCGGGGTCGCCACAGGTCGACACGACACGAACCTACCGCCGTACCGCACGACAAGACCGACCGCACCCACAACGAAACCACAACCGACCGAAATCAATAGGCCGCAAGCTACCTAGAAAGACGCAACGACGCGGCAACAACACGATGATCGACAGAACGAGACCGACCGAGCGCAACAAAAAAAATGCCTGCGAACCGAGCGAACCGTGAACACCCTTGGGATGTACGTTCGAGGGGAGCACCTGGGGCGTGTCAGGAGCGCCCGCGCCCTCTCTTGGAGGCAGTCTTGAGGCCTCTCGGGGGCTGGTTGAGGGCCTATTGGGTCCTCTTTTGGGGAGGGTTCTCTGGGGCCGTCGCGGGCACCTCGTCGGCCGTCCTGGGGCCGTCTTAGGGGTCTCTGGGGCCGCACTGGGACAATACGGTCAACGGGCATAATAAGGCATACTTGCCCCTTCGGCCCATCCTGGGTCATTTTCGCTTACCAACCTCGCTCGAAAAACGTTCACATGGGCGTCCAAAGCCCTTTCACCCTTACCGCGCATCCTTGTGATACGGGTTGGCTGTATTGAAGGCCTTTAGGGCCGTCTCGGACGCTATTAAGACATTTGGGCCGTCTCGGGCGCTTAGACAAAAAAGGCGACCATTCTGAAATTGTCGGTTTCCCATAAAAGGGTCTGGGAAGAGTTTTGCTTTTGTGGGGGCCCTTGTGGGGTTCCTCGTGGAGCACTCTTGCAGTGTCTTGGAGGGCGTTTGGGCCGTCTTGCAGCTACCTTGAGCGTCTGGGCGTGGCCTGGCGACCTTCTGGGACCGGCTTGAGGCGTTCTTGGGGCTTTCTTTGGGCGTCTTGGAACGCCTTGGGACGTTTTGAAGCGGCCAGGGGCCACCCCCCCAGAGGCCGCCGGGGCGCCAGAGGAGCTTTTGAGACAGCGTCCTTGTCGCACGCGCGTGACTGTAATATAATAGAGATGACGCTGGGCTCCAGCCTCGCCTCCCACATCTCGCTAAGCAGTGCCAAAGCCCGCTGCCACTGCTCGCCTTTCGCGCACGCGCTGATCCCGGCATTGCAGCTGATCCCGTGGACTACTTCACCGAACTCCGCCCGAACTGATCACGGGTAAACTTTCGGCGCCCCGCGCGGAGCTGCGACAGTTTACGTTCACGACGTTTTTTCGTCTCGAGAGACGTGGCAGCGTGGCAGCCGCCTGTGCGCCCATCATGGGGGGCGCCGCCGAGGAGGGAGCGGCGAGGGACCCCCCCGTCGGGGGTCACTCTCTGAGGCAACCATCCAACGCTTCAGGTTCTAGGATCGCAGCGGTTCCGGGGCGATTCTGGAACCCTGCAAGTGACCGTTTCGAGTTCCAGATAGGGCGACGAGGTCTATGCATATCCACTGCTCCTGGCCAGGCCCATCCTGGGCCCAGGAGCTGTGTATTATGCCTCCCTGGCCAGGCCAGGAGGGCGTATACACCGCTCCTGGGCCCAGGATTGGCCTGGCCAGGAGCAGTGGATATGCATAGATCTCGTCGCCCTATCCAGAATGGCCCTGGAACCGTCCTGGGTAAAAGCTCATCTGAGGCCTCGCGTGGAGGGGGAAGCCTCTCTGGGGCAAGAACCAACGTGTCAGGTTCTAGGATCGCAGCGGTTCCGGGGCGATTCTGGAACCCTGGAAGTGACCGTTTCGAGTTCCAGAACGACCCTGGAACCGTCCTGGGTAAAAACTCATCTGAGGCCTCGCGTTGAGGGGAAGCCTCTCTGGGGCAAGAACCAACGTGTCAGGTTCTAGGATCACGACGGTTCCGGGGCGATTCTGGAACCCTGGAAGTAACCGTTTCGAGTTCCACAATGGCCCTGGAACCGTCCTGGGTAAAAACCATCTGAGGCCTCGCGTTGGGGGAAGCCTCTCGGATCTCCCCTGGGCCCTTGGTGATCTCTGGCGGCCTTATTTGGCCTCTCTGGCTGCCTTTGGGGACCACGCAAGCCGCCTGGAGCTATCTGGGAGGCCCATCGGGCAGCCGGGAGCTGTTTCGCTAGGAGGGGGGAGAGCGAGGACGGGGGGGAGATGCTCGGGGCAATCTCAGTGCGTTCCTAGGCCGCACTGGGCCAGCCTTAGGGCAATATTGGCGGCCTCTTGGGCCGTCTTGGAGCCCTGTTGGGCCGTCTGGGAGCCCTGTTTTGCAATTGGGACCCCTATGGGGGGTCGTCTTGGGCCGATTTCGGGAGTTCCTGGGGCCGTCCTGGGCGTCCCGAGGCCCGAAACAGTGGGCCTGCGGGCATGACTTCGCCACCATGCAGAAACCAGTGTATGAAAAAGCCATTGGTTGTTGCTCATGGGTGACCTTCGGTGGCAACTCATGGGATCATACCATCACATCTTGTCGACTCTTGCGAATCGACGCTAGATCGACGCTAGATCGACGCTAGATCGACGCTAGTCTGCGCTAAATCGATGCAGATCGACACTACATCGGCGCTATCTCATCCACTCCCAAACGCAACTCGACGCTAAAGACATAACTAAGAAGGTATACTAAGGTCGGGCATGTCCTCCCTCAGGCGGATTTTGGACAAATATTTCGCCCTGCGAAGGACCCAACCATATGCAGTTGTAAGCACCGTCGTTGTATGCACCGCATTCGGAGGAGCTCCCTATGGGGCCACGAAACGTGCGAGTGGTGTTCCAAAATGTGTCCGGTGGGCGCATTGGCAAAGGCCACAGGGGCAATCGGTGGAATTCCCTAGGGGGGCACGGAACTCGTGAGGGGTGTGTCGACATGGGCGTGCGTGACGCATGCGGGCGGTGGCACTCCCTGTGGGGCCACGAAGCGTGTCGGGGGTGTGCCGACATGGGTGTGCGTGAGGCATGCGGGCGGTGGCACTGGGGCCTTCGGTGGAGCCCTGAATTATGCGGCCACGAAACGTGTGAGGGGTGTGCCAAACTGGGCGTGCGTGACGCATGCGGGCGGTGGCACTGGGGCCTTCGGTGGAACTCCGTTTGGGGCCACGAGACGTGTGAGGGGTGTCGAAACGGGCGTGCGTGACGCGTGCGGGCGGCGGCACTGGGGCCTTCGATGGAGGTCCCTATGGGGCCACGAAACGTCTGAGGGGTGTGCCGGACTGGGTGTGCGTGGCGCATGCAGGCGGTGGCACTGGGGCCTCCGGTGGAGCTCCCTGCTGGCGGTGGCACTGGGGCCTTCGGTGGAACTCCGTTTGGGGCCACGAGACGTGTGAGGGGTGTCGAAACGGGCGTGCGTGACGCGTGCGGGCGGCGGCACTGGGGCCCCTTCGATGGAGGTCCCTATGGGGCCACGAAACGTCTGAGGGGTGTGCCGGACTGGGTGTGCGTGGCGCATGCAGGCGGTGGCACTGGGGCCTTCGGTGGAGCTCCCTCCACAAAACATGCTGGCGGTGGCACTGGGGCCTTCGGTGGAGATCCCTATGGAGCCACGGAACGTGTGAGGGGTGTCCCGAAATGGGTGTGCCACTGGGGCCTTCGGTGGTATTCCCTGTGGGGCCACGAAACGTGTGAGGGGTGTGCCGACATGGGAGTGCGTGACGCATGCGGGCGGTGGCACTGGGGCCTTCGGTGGGGCTCCCTATGGGGCCACAAAGCGTGTCAGGGGCGTGCCGAAACGGGCGTGCGTGACGCGTGCGGGCGGTGGCACTGTGGCCTTCAGTGGAGCTCCCTGTGGGGCCACGAAACGTGTGACAGGGGTGCCGAAATGGGTGTGGGTGACGCATGCGGGCGGTGGCCCTGGGGCATTTGCTGGAACTCCCTGGGGCCTCGAAGCGTGTGAGGGGTGTGGCGGAATGGGTGTGTGTGTGTGTGTGACGCATGTGGGCGGTGGCACGGGGGCCTTCGGTGGATCCCATTATTATGGGGCCACGAAGCGTGTGAGGGGTGTGCCGAAAAGGATGTGCGTGACGCATGCGGGCTGTGGCACTGGGGCCTTCGGTGGAGCTCCCTATGGGGCCACGAAACGTGTGAGGGGTGGGTCGAAACGGGTGTGCGTGACGCATGCAGGCGGTGGCACTGGGGCGTTCGGAGGAGCTCCCTATGGGGTCACAAAGCGTGTGAGTGGTGTGCCGAACTGGGTGCGTGACGCATGCGGGCAGAGGCAATGGGGCGGTCGGTGGACCTCCTCCCTATGGTGCCACGAAACGAGTTAGGGACGTGATGAAACGAATGATGCCGATGATGATCGAGAGGGGAGGTAGAGGGGGGGGAAAGGAGTGACGAGGGGCGCTGTCTCTTCAAAGCGAGGACCCAGCACCACAGGATGTTTGGGAACAGTGATCAAATTAGCCTGGCGAAAAACCCAACAATATGCAGTCGTGAGCACCGTCGTTGCATGCACCGCATTCGGAGGAGCTCCCTATAGGCCCACGAAACGTGTGAAGGATGTGCCAAACTTTGTCCGGTGGGCGCATGCGAAAGCAGCCACTGGAGCCGTCGGAGGAATTCCAAATTTGGCCACGAAACGTGTGAGAGGTGTGCCGAAATAGGTGCGGTGGGCGCATGCGAACGCAACCATTGGGGCCGTCGGTGGAGCTCCCTATGGTGCCGCGAAACGTGTGATGGGTGTGCCGAAATGGGTACGGTGGGCGCATGCGAACGCACCCGTTGGCACCTTCTGTGGACACTCTGTAGCCACGAAGCGTGTGAGGGGTGTGCCGAAATCGGTGAGCGTAACGCATGCGGGCGGTGGCACGGGGGCTTCCGGTGGAGCGCCCCGTGGGGCCACGAAACGTGTGAGCGGTGTGCTGAAGCGGGTGTGCATGACGCATGCGGGCGGTGGCACTGGGGCCTTCGGTGGAGCTCCCTATGGGGCCACGAAACGTGTGAGAGGTTTGCCGAACTGGGCGTGCGTGACGCATGTGGGCGGTGGTGCTTGGGCCTTCGGTGGATCTCCCTGTGGGGCCACGGACCGTGTGAGGCGTGTGCCGGAATGGATGTGCGTGACGCATGCGGTCGGTGGCACTTGGGGCCTTCAGTGGAGACCCGTGTGTGGCCACGAAACGTGTGAGGGGTGTGGTGGAATCGGTGAGCGTGACGCATGCGGACGGTAGCACTGGGGCCTTCAGTGGAGCTCCCTGTGGGGCCACGGAGCGTGTGAGGGGTGTGCCGGAATGGGTGTGCGTGACGCAAGCGGGCTGTGGCACGGGGGCCTTCGGTGGAGCCCTTAATTATGCGGCCACGAAACGTGTAACGGGTGTGCCAAACTGGGCGTGCGTGTTGCATGCGGGCTGTGGCACTGGGGCCTTCGGTGGAGCTCCCTGTGGGGCAACGAAACGTGTGAGGGGTGTGCCAGAATGGGTGTCCGTGACGCATGCGGGCGGTGGCTCTGGAACCTTCGGTGGAGCTCCCTATGGGGCCACCGGACGTGGGAAAGGTGTGCCGAAATGTGCGTGCTTGACGCATGCGGGCGGTGGCAGTTGGGCCTTCTGTGGAGCTCCCTGCGGGGCAACGAATCGTGTAATGGGTGTGCCGAACTGGGTGTGCGTGACGCATGCGGGCTGTGGCACGGGGGCCTTCGGTGGAGCTGTGGGGCCACGAAATGTGTGAGGGGTGTACCAGGATCAGTGTGCGTGACGCGTGCGGGTGGCGGCACTGGGGCCTTCGGTGGAGCTCCCTATGGGGCCACGAAAAATTAGGGCGCTTGCACGGGGGCCTTCTGTGGAACTCCCTGTGGGGCCGCGAAACGTGTGAACGGTGTGCTGAAACGGGTGTGCGTGACGCATGCGGGCAGTGGCGCTGGGGCCTTCGGTGGGGATCTCCGTGGGGCCCCGAAACGTGTGAGGGGTGTGCCGAAATGGGTGTGCGTGGCGCATGCGGGCGGTGGCACTGGGGCCCTTGGTGGACGTCCCTATGGGGCCACAACACGTGAGGGGTGTCCCGAAATCGGTGAGCGTGATGCATGCGGGCGAATGCACTGGGGCCTTCGGTGGAACTTCCTGGGGCCATGAACGTGCGACGGGTGTGCCGACATTGGTGTGCGT